AAATTTTTAATCAATAACAATTACCCAAAAAAAAATCACTTCAAAAACAAAAATAACAATAAACAAATAAGTACAGTCCTCCATCGAACATCTTCTTTTCCGTTTCGTTTTTTTTTTTTATTTTTTTGCTTCTGTTTCCTCTTTTTTTTAAAAAAATTTTCCTCCACTCTTTTTGTTTCTTTCTTTTTATTTTTCTTTTTAATACCTACACTCACTTCCTACCTCCCGAAAAACGTTTCTATTTCCCAATTCTGCACATTATTTAGAACATCCTACATGTAACCATGAAAACAAATTTCATCTTAAATCTTGATCTTATCCCTCAAACACCTAATTAACTCACATAGATTAATTCTACCAACAAATAAGACTTTTTGCAGCAAGTCTTCATCACCTCCAATTTATAGAACAACTAATAGAGAGATGCAAGATTACCCATGCTTTTAAATAAATAAAAAAACAGAAATCAACCAAAAATGAATAAATCACACACCTGTAAGGAGCTGAAGGATTAAAGCTTTATTGTTTTATAAAATTTCAAATACAAGTTTCTTCTTCGCTCATCCTCTGCAGCCACTTCACCTCTGATTCTTTTTTTTTTTCCGGCTTCTGCTTTCTTTCTCCCTCTCAACTCTCAGATTCCTCTCCCAATCTTTCTCCCCAAAAGCCGAAGGTGCCCCCCCTTTTATACAGAAATAGAGAGGACTCCAATCCTTTTTCTAATTCTAAATTCTAATCTCAATTCTCAAAATTACAGATAATAATTTGATTCTATTTGAAATTGGAATCCTAAAATTAATCTAATCTTTACACATCTTCCCTCTTTTAAGGCTAGATTCATACCTTTAAAATATCAAGACTCCCAATTTGAAATCGACTTCGAAAATCTTCTGCGACTCTTGATAAGGACTTCAAATCTGAAAATTTCTTCTTGTGTTGTTGTGATCTATCCAAACTTTGAATGGATTTAGAGATAAATCAAAAGATTTTGGGAGCTTTTGGGAGAGTGGCTGGCGGCAAAGCAAAAGGAAGCAAGAAAAATTGAGCATTAGGATTTGTCTGAACCCAGCCTCTTTTATTTTTTAGCCCATTGGTCAAAACGACGTTGTTTTGCCATTTTCCTTCTTAGCCCTTCAAGTTTTCAGCCTTTATAGAAAATAGTCCATTGCCTTTTAATTTTATCATTTAGCCCCAATTAAAATTGGGTTATGACAGTTGTCCCCTCTTTACTTTTCTTTTGTAAAAAGAAAAGTAAAGAATAAAAGAATAAAAGAATAACCCAATTTTAAGCTTTGAAAACAATGTCTAAGTGAAAGTTGCAGTCTTTATCTTTTGCAAAATGCGGTCTTCATCTCATCTTTTGCGAGATGCGGTCTTCATCTCTCCTTCTTCCTCAGATGGGGTCTACATGTAGGATTTGACTTCTAAGATGCGGTCTTCATCTTATCCTTTTGCGAGATGCGGTTTTCTTCTCTCCTTCTTCTTGAGATGCCACTTCATCTCTTCTTCTTCCTAAGATGCAACTTCATTTAAGATATGATTTTTTTGTTTTTTTTTTTTGAGACACAACTTCGTCTTTCATGAGATGCAACTTCATCCCTTCCTGCAACTTCATTTAGGATGTGATTTTCTAGGACGCAACTTCGTCTTTTCTGAGATGCAACTTCGTCTTTTCTGAGATGCAACTTCATCCCTTCTTCTTCCTGAGATGCAACTTCATCTAGGATGTGATTTTCTGAGACG